TTCTGCACTTAGAACACTTAAGGCACTTTCATACTTGGAACACTTCTGGGCATTTCTGTGTTTGAAATGTCTTTAGGTGCTTCTGAGCTTGGAATGCCCTTAAACGCTTTTACACTTAGAACATCGTAAGGGCTTTCACACTTGGAACACCTTAATGTAATTTTCCTATAAATAGTACTTCAAAAATAATAATTAAATAGAATTGAGCATCTACACTTTCTTTTAAGTTATTAATTTTAATATCGATTGCAATTCAAGAATTAAAACATAATGATAGAGTGAAAGCTCAATTTATAAAGTAAATTTATTAATTCAATAATCGAAGCTTTTTGCATCTTTGATTTTAAGAGTAGGAAATTAGTTTTAAACTAAGTTTAAGATATTATCTTGTGCACACTCTTTTCAAAGATTAAAATTTGACAAAATAAAACTTAAAAGAGCAAGAAGAAGAATTTGTAAATAATTTTTATAGAGGTTCAACCTTTTATCTGTGTATAATTTTTACAACAACCTTTACAAAGATAAGATTTAACCTTTTACATTTTTTGGTAAAACCAATATAACTTCCTCTTAAATGGTTAAGGTATAATCAACAATTATCACAATAATGAGAAAAATGGAAGAATTAAGATATCTTTTTAAGGTCAGTAAGTTAAATACGTACGAGTATTGAGTAAATGAATAAAGAAGTCAATCTCAATAAATGAAGAAAAAAATGCTCAAGAGCGATTGAAAAGTGATTTTAATGCTTGAAGTTTTGTTTTCTTGATTTTTGATTTAATTCCAGAGTCTTCTTACTTCATAAATATGATAAGAAGTTTTAATTTATAGTGGGAGAATCTCTTGGAGCTATTGAATCGCATTTAATGCAAAATAGAGCCATTAATTGTGAATTTCATACACAACGGTAACATGCATCGACATTTTTGACATGAGTTTTTCAAATCCTGCATTAAAGTATCAATACTTCTATAAGAGGTATCATACTTTCAAGACAAAATACTATTTTCAACCCATGTATTGATATTTTTACCTCTGTTTTGGCATTTTTGCTCTCGAATTGTAGAGTATCCATATTTATAAACAAAGTATTGATATTTATTCAAAAAGTATCCATACTTGTTGCTTGCTAAACATGAGATACCGAGACATGTATACCCCAAAATTAAGATTTTAAAACTATATTGAACCTTATGTTTGAGTAAACACTTAGGCATTTCATTTTCGAGTTTCAATGGAAATTTAAGCCTTTTCAAACATTCTTTAATGACTTAACTTAGCAGTTTTGATAATTTATTTTGTCATTTCAAAAGTAAGATCAATTGTAAAACTACCGCATAGAAATCAGCGCTTACTATAACTACAACTTTCGTTTTTTTTTTTCCATTTTGAAATCGAACGATTTTTTTTCTTTTATCAAAGAAAATTTTGAGATTTGAATTTGACTCATTTATGTTATTGCTATATAATGTCTAAAATCCAAAAGAAAGAAAGAGGTGCTTAAATGATCATTGGTTTGCACCAGCGTATATCATACCGTCGTTCCTTTGATATACAGAAAAGATGAATGGGAATAGCTTCTGAACAAATGTAACTGGTAACACAAGGAAGTTCCTAAATCCATGGTTTAGTACTGCTTCCATAAAGATAATTTGGAGGAAGGAAAGCCCCAATGGGCATCATTGTTACAAAAATTAAAAATAAAAGTGAGACCAAAAAGGATTGAATTGCTAAATTTAACACACTCTTTAGCTGCAGCCAGCCATATATATTATATGTTCATTTCTCTTTCAATTTCTTGGTTATGGCAAAGGCTGCTCCTGCCACCGCCACCACCACTGCTGAAACTAAAATTGCTGTTTTCAGCGTCTGCATTGAATCCTTCTTCTCCTTTTTCTCTTGTGCCTCAACACGTTCCTTCATTGCAAGTAGTAAAAGAAATCAGTATAAAATCTGCAACACTAAATGCACACCATGGATATGACATTAATTAAGAAGAATTTTCTTATTGTTCAGATACTTTGGCAAGTCTTGAATGATCTTGTGCACTGAAATTAATTTAATAAGCGCAACATCAAATCTAAAAATTCGATAAATACAAAGACAGAGACAAAAAAAAAAAGAAAAGAAGAAGGTAAATTTAGATATATTTACCTTGATTTCTCGAGAAGTAGCAATCTCAAATGACACGGAATCAACCTTAAAGTCTTTGTTTTCACCGGGATTCAGCTCCCCATTAATGTCAGCAGCTGGAAACGTTTCACCAGAGGCATCAGAAATTCCATCTGCCATTTTTCCTTAAAAATCCTTCCAACTTAAATTAGTATCCTTTCTTTTGCTGCAAAGAAGAGGAAAATGGGAAAAGAGAAAGAGATATAGGGCTTGGGATTTCAGAACCTCAATAGAAAATGGATCAAAGACACGTGTCAGTAACCCAAAAGCTGGGATTCTGAGCGTTTTATGGGTGTTAACGACCTTCTATTTTTGTTCTTAACTGTCCGAGCATTTTGTCGGAATTAGCTAATCCTGGATTCTGTAATGGTGAGTTTAATGAATGAATTGATGGAGCCATGGAGGGAATAATTGTAGGCACTTTCTCTACTCTCTCTATTTTCTTTGAAAATATAGTATGAGTGAACCTTTTAAGTCAAAACAAAGAAAAAACACACAAGTCTATTTGGAAACCCATCTCAGCAATGAAAGATGACTTTTTGGCTTCAAACTGCCATTGTGTCGTGGAAACCTTTTTTCCTTCTCAATCAAGAAGATACCATACTAACATAATTTGGTTTCTTGTGAAATTGTGTTTGTTCGATGTGGAGCGCATCTTGCCTAATAAGCAATTAACAAACAAGTTAAATTACATCATCTCCTGTTACATTGGAATTTTGCAGGATGATCATCTCAATAGTTTTGTTCTCATGATGAGCATGCAATGAGTTTCCGCAGCTCTCAAGAAACACCAGAAAGTCTGCTTTCACTGCAAGCAGATAATGAAGAGTCTTGCTGTTCCTCAGATTTGAGTTCCTAGTTCTTTGCCCCGAAACCACGAGGACTTGGCCTTGTTGATGCTGAGTCTGCAAACTGCCTTCTTGACTCTGATCTCCTCTTTCTTCTTGCAGTACCAGGAGGAGCCTAATTCATGGGACAAAATGAAAACATCAAATGTTACAGAATATAGCTTGCCCACGAATCATTGAATTCACACTAGAAGTCCGTTAGAATTCTATCAATCATAAACGAGTTTAAATTTATATGACACTGTCTGAATAAGTGTGTACTTGCAGAGTTGCAAACAAGGCACCTTTTGTTCAGCTTTCATTGCATCCTCAAGATTGCTCAATGTTGGAATGGATCCACCTTCCATTACACCCATCAAATTCTTCATACGAACACGCATTTGGAAGAGTTGAGCGACAAGTTGACTCACCTAATATTGATACCAGAAGACATATCTCATGCACAAGTTGTCAAAATTTTATTAACCTACTAGTAGAAACAATGCATACCTGCTGCTCTGTTTTACCGGAACCTTGAGCAACTCTTTTCCTCCTTTCAGGAGACTCAGCCAATAACTCCGGCTTCTCCCTTTCCTCTGCAAATAAACAAGAAAATAAGAAAAGTTCACTATTAGAAAGTAAAAGAAATAAAAGAGAAAGAAGCAAATCAAGAGACAGCATTTCAAAGTAAGCACAGCCATATTCATCTATACAAGTATGCTGTTTCCTCACAGCCATAGTTAATCATCAAACTGATTTCTAAATATGCATATAGCAATCAAAAAGTTGCAGAAACAACCCTCATCAAGGAAATATGTATAGCATACTACACTGGTTTAGGAAAAGCAAGAGGTACCCAGTTGCATAATCTCGCTAGTCAAACACCAAAATCAAACATCTATGGAAGGGCACAGTACATGTGATTGTACATAGCCAGACCCAGCAATTTAACCATAGCCATACATGGTTTAAACAAAGTTGGTAATTTTGAATGAGACTGAGAGAGGGTAATAAAAAAGATTAGAACTTTTCTCTCTTTTCTGGTATACTCTGCTCTTCATTGTCTACACTCTCCTATCAGCCTCAGAAACTTGCATTGGTAAAACATTGAGTAGAGCAATATGGCTTCATCTTTTTGTTAATTTTTTTATTTTGAAAAAGAAAGGGGCCGTGTGTATAGGAGCAATACCACTTGATGGTTCAAGAAGCAAGGTCAAGCTTAATCAAATAAATTTAACACAAGAAAAGATATGCATGGTCAACTTGTATCCTTCAAAATCCCACACTAAAAGCAGTTAGAATAGAACCTGGTGTCATGGTTTCAATCATTGCCTCCATTATTTTTAAACTCTTCTCTGCTTCTCGAACCTGGGCTGGGGTAACCTGTTTTTGAACAAATAGGAGATCAAACCAGATTCTTTTTGCAGTCCATAAACTTTCAATTTTTCAAGAAAAAAGAGTAATAATTGACGGACAGACTACTATTCTGGCAGTAACAGTAAAATAAAAGGACCAAGAAGGCTGCATAAACTTTAAAACACAACCCCAGAGAATAGGAAACCAAACTTTCATACCTTCCCCATTCCAGGGATCATTCCAATAACACGAGTCATGGAGCCCATTCGTGCAACAGCACGAGTCTGCTTTAGGAAATCATTGAAGTCAAACTTTGCACTCATTATCTTCTTTTGCAGCTCTTCAGCATCTTCTTGGCGCATCTAAACAGACATTTGGATTAAAACTTATCGAGATGTGTTTAGTTTCAAAGGATGTGAGATAAAAGTCACTGAAATCTTACAACTTCTTGTGCCTTCTCAACAAATGAGAGAACATCTCCCATTCCCAAGATGCGTCCAGCCATACGATCTGGATAGAAAGGCTCAAGGTCCTCCATGCGCTCTCCGCGTCCTACAAGCTTGATCGGCTTCCCAGACACCTGTAGTGTCAACAATATAGAACATACAGCAATGTCCAATTTACCACTAAAGAAACGCAAAATAACTACTGTCACAATTTCCAGGTGCTTAGAGATGAAATATCTTCGCCAAGGAAGAGGTTCTATGACATAATTTTAAGTGAAGAAAATCAAAGGCACTGGTAAGGCAAACCTCTTTAACACTCAAAGCAGCGCCACCTCTAGAATCTCCATCTAGCTTTGTCAAAATGGCACCAGTAATCCCTATCTCAACATTGAATGTTGTGACCAAGGCTGTGAATTTTAAGAGAAGATGAAGAAAAGATGATCATGGAACTTGTGACAGTCTTCGTCTTGCCAATAGCTAAATTAAGCAGGTAAATAGATACAAAGACATGTACATATTGTTAAGTGGGTCCAAATGTGTAAACTTCAACCATAAAACTCCTAGGTCATTTATGTATGAATTGGGCCAGCTGCCTGGCACTCTAAGTAGAATACTGAGCCAATCAATTGCTGCAGTTCTTCTGCTTGAATGAGATACATGCTCTACAAATATAAGTACTGAAAGTACATAATGCATTATTGAGGAAAAAAGTTTATACGGTATTCTGTGTATAATATATAGTATGAAAAAACAAGATTTAAAAGATTATTAGTATAAAAATAATCATAACATCTATTAATGCATAAATGAAAAAGGGCAGTGGCATATTAAAAAAGAAAGTTGGAAGTCTGAGTACCAGCAGCTTCTTGGCCAGTCATTGCATCCACAACCAGCAAAACTTCTGTGGGATTCAATACTTTCTTCACTTCTTTCAACTCATCCATCATTGCTTTATCAATCTGTTGAATTCAAGAAATTAAAATGTATGGAAGATTAACCTAAGGATGTTGCATCATTTAAAAATCATTAAAAGTTGCAATGACAGATGTTTATGTTTTACCTGGAGCCTTCCTGCAGTATCCATTATCACTATATCTATCTTCTTCTTTTTGGCCTCTTCTAAACCTTGCTTCGCTATTTCAGATGGTTTGACCTCAGTCCCTGCTGTATATACAGGAACGCCCACCTGTCACCAGCTATAACAGAATATGAGAAATAGTAACTTTTAGAAGAAGTCAAAAGAGAAACGACGTTATGACGGGTAAAGATAATTGTCATGATCAATCAATACATTTCTTAAGTCACGAAACAAACTGGAACTATGGTCACAGGTCAAAACTAACATTCGGAAAATGCAAAATAAATGGATAAAGTTTCCATTAACTTATTTAGTAACACTATGGCATCAGTCTTATAATTTTAACTTGCCTAAAACTGAAAATAAATCCATTTAAATTGAAATTCATTGAGAAAATACTTTAACAAGATACCTTTTTGCTAGAAAGCTTCTATGATAGCTATTTATGTTTCATTTGTTCAGTGTTTGTGAATCATAATCAGTAATGTGAGAAAACTCATGAAAAAGTGTGTCATCTCCAATTCTGTGGTACACTGTTGCTCCAGCATCAATTACCATCAGTCAAATACCTTGTTAAATAAGACAACTAGGACAGATGATTCAGATCAACAAGACCAGAAAGTTCACTCCGCATTGCTCCATTGTGGTATTAGAGAATACAAAATACCATGCTTTCACCTCACAAGGTTTAGCACCTCTAACTGGTAAGACTGCCACTCTAGAGCTAACACCAAACATATACTTGACCTATCATTTCCAGAAAATCTTCTTTGAAATCCACTTGAACAAAAATCAAATTTGAAAGAAAAGTGGATAACTGAAATCATATGAAACTACTAGGAAAAAGAGAATTCCATTGACAATAAAAATCCTATACCTGTTCGCCCAAAATAACGAGTTGATCGATAGCAGCAGGTCTGTATACATCTCCTGCGATAAGCATGCAACTCTTACCCTGTAGTCAAAATTATGCTCCAATGTCAACTGAGGCTTAAGGAAAAAGCTAAACTTGTCTATATTCAACAACACAAATGTCACCTGTTTCTTAAGATAATTAGCTAACTTCGCACAAACAGTTGTCTTTCCAACCCCTTGCAGACCAGCCAATAATATAACAGTGGGGCCAGATTTTGAAAAGACCAGTTCAGAAACCTCTCCTCCCATCAATTTCACAAGCTCATCGTGTACAATCTGCGACCAAAAGAATACGTAAGTGATACACATGGATCCAAAATCATAGACCACTAAGATAGTTCTAATCTTCTAGCATGAAGGAGGTAATAAAAGATCATGCTACCAAGTATGTCAACCACACATGATAAACAAATCCATAGAAACCTCCCTTCAATGCTTGCTTAACAAATTGCATTTTGTTGATAGGAGTTTATACCTTAACCAATTGTTGATCTGGCTTCACTCCTCGAATAAGGCCAACTCCAACAGCCTGGTCACTAACAGCTTGGACAAACCTTCTAACAACAGGCAGACTAACCTGTCAGCAGAGACACACAAACCATTTTATTCAGATGTTATCCTGTTGAAAAATTAAAAACCACAAGAAGTATTTCCAATACTAGTCACTTACATCTGCTTCCAAAAGTGCTCTCCTAATATCGCGCATTGGCTCCACAATGTTCTCCTTCGTCAAAACCTCTGAAACACAAGGCGTTCACTCCTAACTCAAACATCCAACAAACTAACTTCTCTAGGTAGTTACTATAATTATTGGTTTTTACTTTCTCTAAATTTATTTTAAAGTAAAAGCAAATCACAACTGATTAAAATGAACAAATGGGTAGACATCAATTCTAAAATAGTTGCTTCGTTTGTCATGCAAAAGAAATAAATAAAATTTTAACTTTCAACTTTTGAAGAAAATTATTCACTCTTGTATGCAAATTAACTTTGTTTCAAGTAGAAAAAGAAACTCCTAAATAATAAGTTCAAAGAAAATTAACCAAAAAGAAAGGGATCAAACCTTCTCCTTTAAGCTTGGTCCAAGCAGCTTCGAGGCCACTCGTCAACTGTCCAAACATTTCAGCTCGTACAACACCTCGCATCTCTCTCCTTAAAGTTACCGTCTTGGAATTTACCCATCCCCATATTTCTCTCTGCCGACAAAAAAAAACAAAAACAAAACTTTAATCAATTTAGATACTTAAAAAGTACAGAGGTTTGCAAATTTCCTTTGCTTCTTTCGCGCAATCTCTCGACACCTGAACTTAGAGTTAAGTGTAAATGTAATTTTTTTTTCTTTACTTTATTTTGTTGTTTCGTTATTGACTTACAGTGAACAAATTCCTCGAAGAAAGGGAAGTGATATTGCTCGAACCAATACTCCATGTACTTCCAAGCAAAGTTGTGTTTCTGGGACTGTTGTAGAACATCCTGTTCGTCATAAAGGAACCGGAAGTCGCCGAGAAATGGCGGGAAGCAACGGTTGAAAAATGCATTGCCTCCATGGCTCGAACTCGACTCTTCTTCGCTTCTATTCCTCTGTCTTCCCCTGGATTTTATTTCTCAGTCTTGTCGACATGGACGATTTAGATATCATCCGTTATCTTCTTGTTGGATTGCCTGCTACGCGGCCCACCGTTATATTTTAATTTTCAGTTTTTTTTCTCCAATCGCGTGCTTTCCTCTTACGTGGCTTCCTCTCCAAACGCTGCGTTTCGAACACTCTGTCTTCTCCCTGCGGTTTCTCCCCGCCAAAAGCTTAGCGGCTTCATCTTCAGACTCCAAAGCGGCATCGATTCCCTGCCGTTTTTGCTTCCTATGACTTCAATTCCATGGAACACTCAGTTGCGAGAGCTAGCAAAGCAATGCCAGTACCTCCAAGCTCTAACTCTCTACCGCCAAATGCTGCGCTGCGGTTCCACCCCGAACGCCTTCTCTTTCCCTTTCGCTCTCAAATCCTCGGCTTCCCTTTCACTCCCTTTCTCCAGCCAACAACTCCACTGCCACGTCATCAAATCCGGTTGCTCCCTGGAACCCTTTGTTCTCACTTCTCTAATATCAATGTACTGTAAATTCAACTCCGTCGAACACGCCCGCAAAGTGTTCGATGAAAACCCAATATCAAATCAATTAACGGTTTGTTACAATGCTTTGCTTTCAGGCTACGCGCTAACTTCCCGTCTTTTTGAAGGATTTTCTTTGTTTTGTAAAATGAGAGAAATGGGTGTTTCTGTTAATTCAGTTACAATTTTGGGTTTAATTCCGATGTTTTCTGAACCAGGGTATTTTAGCGCAGGGATGTCTTTTCATTGCTGTTGTGTGAAATTAGGGTTGAATCTTGATTTCTCTGTTTCTAATTGTTTGCTTACAATGTACGTAAAATGTGGGGCGGTTGAGTTTGGTAGGAAGTTGTTTGATGAGATGCCCAAAAAGGGTTTGATTACTTGGAATGCTATGATTTCAGGGTACGCGCAGAATGGACTTGCTTCTAATGTTTTAGAACTTTATAAAAAAATGAAAGCTTGTAGGATTTGTGCGGATGCTGTCACATTTGTTGGGGTTTTATCGTCCTGTGCTCACCTTGGCGCTATTAGTGTTGGTCGTGAGGTTGAACAGCAGATAGAGTCTAGTGGATTTAGTTTGAATCCATTTTTGAATAATGCGCTGATTAATATGTACGCTAGGTGTGGTAATTTGGTCAAGGCTCGTGCTATTTTTGATGGTATGCCTATGAAAAGTGTGGTTTCATGGACAGCGATTATAGGTGGATACGGAATGCATGGATATGGAGAGATTGCAGTGGAGTTATTCGATGAGATGATCAAGGGTGGTATTAGGCCTGATGGTGCTGCATTTGTGAGTGTCTTGTGTGCATGTAGCCATGCGGGTTTGACTGAAAAAGGCTTGGATTATTTTGTTGAAATGGAGACGAAGCATCGGTTGCAGCCAGGTCCTGAGCATTATTCTTGCGTGGTGGATCTTCTAGGTCGGGCTGGTCGGCTGTATGAAGCTTTGGAGCTCGTTAAATCAATGCAAGTAAAGCCAGATGGTGCAGTCTGGGGGGCCCTTTTGGGTGCCTGCAAAATTCACCATAATGTAGAGATAGCAGAGTTGGCTTTCGAACAAGTTATAGAGCTTGAGCCCACAAATATTGGTTATTATGTTCTGCTATCCAATATTTATGCTGAGGCAGAGAATTTGGAAGGAGTGCTAAAGGTTAGAGTAATGATGAGGGAGCGGAATCTCAAAAAGGATCCAGGATGTAGCCATCTTGAACATAAAGGGAGAGTTTACCTTTTCTTATGTGGGGACCAAAGCCATCCACAATCAGTGGAGATATACAGAATGGTAGATGAGCTGGAAACTTTGGTGAAGAAACTTGTTGGCTGTAAAAACAATCAAGAAAGGAGAAGTAAAGAACTTTTCCTTGGGATGGGCGTTCATAGTGAAAAGTTGGCAATTGTGTTCGGACTGTTGAACTCCGAGCCAGGGACAGAGATTGTTGTGATAAAAAACCTTAGAGTGTGTGAAGATTGCCATTTGTTTCTCAAGGGGGTCAGCAAGATTGTGGATCGTCAACTTGTTGTTAGAGATGCAACCCGTTTCCACCATTTCAGGGATGGGCTATGTTCATGCAAAGACTATTGGTAATATTCACTTGAGATGTCCATATAGCAAAATCTACATGCCCTGGTTATAAAAGGATTTCCCAAAATGTTCTCAAATAATAGAAAATATGCAGGGAGAAGACTGAAGATTTGAGTTTCAAAATATTTGAATTTGAGAATTACATCCCCAAGCATAAGCCTGTGGATTGCTGGTTTAGCAGAAGGCGGCTGCAAGAATATATGGTCAACTGTTCTATGGATAAGCTTTGGGTTGATTAGAAATGGTACCAAAGAAATAAGCTGAGATGAAGAAGAAAGGCCTTGGACAGCATCCCTTAACAGTTCATAAAAGGCCAAATCCTAGGTGATGAGAAGATAACATCCCCTCTGGAGGGCCTTCGGAGAAAGAGGTGGCAATCAACTAGCCATGCTTGAGGTTGATTTATTGATCGATGCATCCCTACCCCAGTTTGCCAAGCAGACTTGCTGTTCTACTGGAGGGCCTCTGGAGAATGACCGGGAATATTGATCTGGGTTTGTCAATGAGGAAGCATTCCTTGTACTAACTAGTAAGTGCAAATAACTGCTTCACCTTAGTTGCAGTGGGCAAGAGTTCGAGTAAAGAGATTATATTTGAGACAGAGAAAAATGTGCAAGCAAATTTTGAGAAACCTGTTGAGCATTCTTATTTCCGCTTGTACCTTTTCTCTTGTTTGTACTTGTATATTTCCAATTGATCGTTGTACCAGTTGGTCAAACACAATTGCTCTCATTTTGTAGAATCATGCATCCACTTCCTTACATGATCAATACACTCAAAACAAGAGGAGATTGCCTCGAGTTTGAACTATTATGACGCAATATCTGTAGAAACCTAGATAGGTTTATACATAGCCTACAACACCTTATCCCTAATCCTCCAAAATTTTGACAGAATGATTAAGCTCCGAGTGAACATTTTTAATTTCTTTGTTTCCTACCGTAGAATGGTCAAAAATGGTAAGAAACAAAACCTATCACATCCTTAACAAATGGAACTTTTTACGTAAATGTTGCTACTATGTCTGACTTAAAGGAACTGTAGCAAAGCTTCAATTCAGAGGATTACTTCACCCAACCCAGATTATGTGATAGCAGGCACCAAATATGGCTGAATACTTTTCAATACAATTTACAAAGAACTTGCAAGGGTAAAATAGATGTAATTTATGCCACTGCAAATTGCATCATATATATCATTACTTGGCCAATTAGCAGTGCATTGCCGCTATTGCTCAATTATGCCACCTAGGGCTAGAACTGCATCAGTTCCGGAAACACAAACATCTTCGACAAATGGAATGGTTTTCCACACAGTCAATTTCATCGGCATATTTGCTTCACCTACAAACAAAATGTTAACGTTTTAGCAACCATGCAACCTACAACTATCTTAGACAAACAAGAATCAGAATCCAACCTCCAACAGTTTTATCTTTTTCCATACAAATGGCAGCATAATGAGAACCAGCCACTTCCAGGAGTGCTAATTGCCAATTGTTTGTGAGGTTTGTGGGGTCATTAGATGATTCAACAATTTCTTCAGATCCCTGTCAATGTGAGTAGTGTTAATCAGAAACTTTTGATACAATTCAGTGGTATATGTTAGATCATAATCCAGAGATCCCAATCATAGCATTCAGTGGTACTTTTTTCTTTTTACATGCCCTATCATAACCAAGACCTATCCAAAATCTGCCCTAGTAGCACTTCAGCTAAAGCTTTGTTTACTACCATTATTGGTTTTTATTTTTTAGTCGTTAACTTCAGTTCAAAATGCTCAGCAAGAAGGTGAAATGACTAACTTAACAATATTTGGCTAAATGATTATTTGTTATAACAAAGCTAGGTTGATAATGTAACACAAGTGATGATGTCTGTCTACTCATATTATATAATACCCACATAAAATTCAGGTACTAACCTCTGAAACTGAAATTCCAGGAGGATGAAGGTTCCTTGTAGCTGTAGCCCTAAACTGAATAGTAAAGGTCTTGAAAGGCACAGCTGAAAAGCCTTTTCCCAATGCTTTTACATATGCCTCCTGGACATGATATCCACATTGTAGAAAACTTGAGAAAAATATGAACACATTACATTTCAACTATGATTTATCATGCTTTAGGGCAGATTTATTATTAATATCTTGCTTACTTTGAGAGTCCATAATTTGATAAACTCCTGACACTGAACTTCGGGGTCTGATATAGCAGTTAAAAGTTTCACTTCATAAGGAGAAAAATAGCGTTGAGCAAAGGCTGTGATATTGTTCTTTATCTTCCGTTGCTTCTCTTCAACATCAATGCCAATCTATATTAATTATTGAAAGCAAATTACACCAAGTTTGAGTACATCTAGTAACAAAACTTTAACAAAGATAAACTGACATAATTATTGTTGTAAGCATATCTATGTATCTCACAAGAATAACAATAGGACTTACTGGGACGTTTACTGTCACACCACAGGCAATCATAGAAGAGGTGTGTGAGATATTAAAATGCAAGGGTGGTGGGCTAACATTGTCCTCATTTTGCCACTCCACCTATTTAAGTATGGGACAAGCAAACAATTAACATGTGGAAGAACATAGAATGAGATTCAAAAATATGAAGAAAGCAAGGTCCTCAAACAAAAAGGATTGCAAATCCTTTACTAATCACCTCAGGCTTCCCATAGATGTTCTTTCTAAACTTCAAAGATCTTGGATTTATGTCACAATTCATCTGATCTAGCAATATAAAACTATGTTAGTCTATGCAAAGCATGTTTTATAACAAGAGGAAATCTAGAGTCCCTAAGATATGCATGTTGAAAACATTCTTTGCAGTTAGGCATTTTCACATTGTTGGCTGGCAATTGGTACACCACTTACGCAAGTTTAAGTAATAGTTTGAACCTTCATGTGGTAAAGAGAAAATCAGATCACATACAGGATCATGGCAGTTATTTTCACCCCAAATAAGACGGTGCATCAGCACACCAGTGACGTGTTGGACATGAATTGAGTAATTTACTTATTAAAATTGAGAATCTGATCTAATTCTGATTAAACAAGATTCATATTAGTACAGACCTTTTTGTACTAAGAAATTGATTGTCTCAGTTAACCTTGAAAGATTGAGCAATTTATATATAGATAAGAATATCAGATATGTTGATTGTCTTTAATCACTTTGCAACACAACTGAATATAAAATATTAATATGAACAAAATGCTAAGAAAAACAAAAAGGAGACCTACATCTGGCAATGGTAGTGCGAACCAAGGCTCGAGCAAGCAGGGCTCTTTTCTTCAGCTGGTCTCCACCCATGCGGTTAACATTCTCTCTCTCACATGGTGATAAGAGTTCAGAATATTGATTTAGAAGAGCCACACTCTTGACCTCATCAGGCAATATATACCAAAAATGGGTTTCCCTTAAAACACCATAAAATCATAATATAAGAATGAATGAAACCGAAAAACCAAAAAAAGTTTACAATTTTAGCACCAAATGTTAAGGGTTTGGAACATCACAAAAGAAGAAGCAAACTTGCAAGGTACCCATATTAATTAAGTGCATATATAACATAAATTCTAAATGAAAAGCAAGAAATTAGCGGGAAGAAGAGGGAAAGAAATCATTACATTGGAGATGGGAGTTGCAGGGGAACCACATGGGGTAAAGCAGCAGAAAAATTTCTCTGAAAGCATCGTATATTCATCTCCAAGTTGGTTTTGCATAGAAAAGAAAATGAATTTCTAAGCTTGAAAACAACAAAAAGGAAGCATTGAATGAGAATTTGTAATCCGAATTAACAACTTTCAAGAAAACATATCATTGAAATAATCTGAAGTTTAGGACGGCTGGCAACATCAAAAAGTACGAATGGTGTTAGGCTTCAAATTGGGCTGGACTAGCTTTGCCCTTCCCCTTATGGGCCAAGATTTCTTCCTGTTATCGGATAGGCTCTTGAAAGGCTTTGTTCTTGCATTTGGCAATGCAGAGCAGCGTAAATCCTCCATTGAAGCAAGATGGGCCAAGCAGGGACACCCCAGAATGGAATTTGATTGGTTGGCGCACAGACTATCTTCATGGTCCCTGGGGAAAATATTTTATTCTCAAGCCTTGTCATGCATACTCGGTCATTGTTTTCTAATTGCCAGCCTGCGGGGTTGTTTTTTCATTTTCCTAAACATAATTAGGTGCAAAACTACAAGCAGTCAGGCACTAGAAAACCAAAAGTCATGTTCATTTGAGCAATACAAGCAACTTTGATTGATTAGAAGCTTCACCAATAAGTATCGTGAACAATAGAAAATGTTAGAATGAGCCGAGGAAATGTCAGTATGAAGCGACGAACGGTTAAAGACTTCCCACCCAAAATAACATACAAGGCACACATGAACTCGTACACAATATTCCCAAAACAAAAGCACAAAACACAACATACCAACTTCTACCAGTTGGCATTTCTCTTCCATCGCGACCCCATCTGACTACATCCTAGCATTCAAGGCCATTCACCTCCAAGCTTCAAAAAGCTCTGCTCTTGAATTTATACGGCCAACAATCTTCGTTCCCTTGCTCTTCTCTACAGGTCCTGCTACCTGGCAGATTGACCATTCATTTACCTTCTTTGATCCCTTCTTTAGACTTGAAACACTTGATTGACCAGTTCTGCTCTTTCCAGATGTACTTCGTAGGCCACCTTCTTCGAGTCCATTTGCCAAAGAGTTCACTTGAGAAACCACAGTGCAAGGACAGTTATCAACTAGAGATCGATTTCCGGCACAAATGTTCTCGATCGAAGTTAGGAAACTTTCAGAGTTACTTTCTGCTGTCAAATTCTCTTCGGCAGAGTGAGTGGGGCTCTCCATGGCAGGTTCTTGAGCAACAAAAACTTTTTCTCCTTCACTTTCATTTTTAACCTCCTCATTGACATCTTTGTGCAGTTGTGAAGAGCTTTGCCGTCCATTCTTATCAGAAGGCTCTAAGCGAGAAACAGGAGTAGAGTCTACCATAGAATCTTCTCTTTCTTTAAGTGTTCTGATAATAAGTGTCTTGAGAAAATTCATTACCTGGACCGCATACATCAATGCAGTCAAAGGATCGGACATCTGCAATAAACAGACGAAGTGGAGGTCATTAACCTGTGAATGGGCCAGATTGCAAGAGCAATCGTACATTTTAGCACATACTAACAAGACCTTTTATTAGATACATTACAGAATAATATCGCTGCACACAACCATAAATAGTAATTAAATTAAAGCTTTGACGGAAAAGAACAACTATCAGAAGAATATCCCATCATGATAATCAGGAGGAAGAGCTTTGGTATGCTTCAAGGTGCCTAGAAAGGACTTTTCAAAGTGGAACTCTTTGCCCTGAAGTTAGGTCATAAGAATGAGTGTTTTTTCTAATAGTCTTCTTTTCTAGTTTTTGAAAATATTAAAATGCTGCGAGTTTGTGCCAAGGGTATATGGGATGCATCCATGTGACAACTAGTATCAAATGATATGCTTAAAAAACTTAGCACCTTCAAGGCGAGAAATATGAGAAAATATTGTAGAGCAATCAGCAGAGCTTTATCAACTACATCAAATTGGCTCAAATATCAGTAAACAATAAAAAAACTGTGCATCAAGTTTTACATGAGTATTTAAAAAGACTGAAAGATTTTTACTCACTTGAGTCATGTTTGGAGCAAACACCATGGCAACATTGCGTGCATTCATCTTGTTCAAATGTTCCAGTTGCACAACATCAGCCATTAAATTTATTGCCCAATCCAGTAGAGCAGCTTCTGTTGGAGGAAGGAGCCGTACAAGCCGAGCACACTCTTCTTCTGACTGGGATTGTATTACCTGCTCTGGAGGAAGAGAGTCCAAGACACCACTAGGAAGTTCTCTAAACCAAGCCTGTAGAATAATAAACACATAAATCAAATGAAACTTACCATTTCAACTAGGGAAGTTCCAACATTTATTTGCTGATATCTCAACAAAAAGGAGGGCATTCTCAGCCCATGAACCAGTCCTTTTTATAGTGGGTTTGTTCCCAATATCGCCAAAAAAAATTACTTACATAAAAATAAGCTGATAAAATACAATAAGTAGAAATGCCAATGTAGCAAATTTATATATGAGAAACATGTTCATAATTCCCACATAAGAGGTGCAGCTTTTAAAGGGCAAGGAAATACCTTTATAAGACCTGCCAAGCAATGTACATCTATCCCATCCGGTATAATTCCCCTATTTAGTTGTTCCCTAACATACTCCTCCTGACTGTTCTCAGCATTAATTCTGAAAATTCCTTCTGCCTAAAAAATCAAATATAACAATTTAGTTATTAAAATTGGATAATTCAAGCAATTTTATAGCCAGCGGACAGTAGAGGAAAAATAGATAATCACATACCTGGAGGCCTCCTTGGGCATACAAATGCCTTTGCATTAGGAGTAGTATTGTTGGCACACTATTCCCTCTAGAGTCAAACGAAAGCTGCATAGATTCTGTTGAAACTCCAAATACATTTGCACTGCACAAGAATGGTATCTTAGTCAATAAATTAAAATTAGCACAAACACTGTTAGATGGAATGCTGATAGACTTTGGCAACTGAGATCACAGCACAAGGTATCATCATGCTAGTTTCCATACATTCATTATAGCCATAGTATTAACTATAAATTGTGCTTGATTTTCAAACTGAGCACCGCAGACCAAACAATGAAACAAACATAAAATAGACATAACTCCAGTAAGGTTTACCAAGGAATCAGAAAGGGACATAAGAAATGAAATTAGAAAAACGTAGCCAGCACCCAATCCCAAAACGCTTCAAATAGAAAATGCGCAGCAGGGAAAAAAGTCATACAATGCAGAGAAGTATTTGAACTTTTGGGGTAGAAATTTGCATCCACAAACTGAAGCAAACTGTCCAGTTCATTAAGATTTGCTTAGGAAGACCCAATGGTCGCCTTCGTTACTATGGGAATCTATATAAGAATGAGGACCTCAAAGAAATTAATCATCCGAAGTACCTAAAATGATAGATGTTTACAACAATAGTCGCCTTTTTCGAGCATTCCTTTTGTTAAAAACACTTCAGATAAAAGTTCAGCTCACCAAATTATATGAAAGTGAAACAAGGTTCAGGAGAGGGGAAAAAAACTTATTGAGCTACATTAACCAATATAACCAAACCCCAGAAAAATTTTCCTTAAAGACTACCCTTTTATTGACGATCAAGAACGAAATAATCAGGAAAGGGTCAATTGTGACACATATATCTCAAACCCAGATCAGAATTTCAAGAAGAACAAAAATAATTCTTCATTGATAAACTCACCTGGCACTTGGGGCTCTCCTGGGGACCTCAGGCTCGAATTCAACAGGCAAACCAAGAAATCCATGGAACCTATCAAAAGTCACATGAGCAACATGTCTAACATTGGTAGGCAACCCAATTTCCATTGAGCAAAGCTCTTTGCTATCAGAAATGCTACACCCAATCAAAGACTTCCTAAAAGCAGCGACCAAAAGTGTTAATAAAGACAGTTGATCCCCTTCCCTGTCCCTTTCTTTCCTCTCCTCCTCTTGCCTTCTCTCTTCTTCTTGGTCACTATCTTGGGCTATGCTTTCCACAGTGCTTACACTAGAGTTAATAAGGGCATGTGGCGTTGAGGTGGAGCTTGAAGGTGAAGAGAAGTGAGATGGGGATGATTGGAGTACTTCAGTCATTGTGTTTCTTTATTGGGGTCAAGAATTTAGAGCCAAGAAACAAACTTTTTTATGGCAAACTTGGTTTCTTTGGAAGGACTTAATGGAATAATGGGACGTCAAGATTTGGTGTCTATGTAGAGTTGGATTGAAGGAAAGATTTTGGATGGTAGGAAGCAAGTATCATCACTTTTTCTGGTTTTCTTTTTATTTTTGCTTTTAATTTTCTTGGCTGGCTATGGCTTGACGCTTGAAGAAGCAAAGTATAAAGATTGAATATTTAGGGGAAGAACGAGAAGTGGTGGTGGGTGGAGGAGATGAAGAGGTTTGAGAAGAGAAAGAAACAGCTTCGTTTGCCCCAACGCCCATGCTTTAAGCAAATGGATTGGGGGGGACGGCGCTGCTTCTGTACACTGAATTATCCTATGCTGTTCCAGAGCCAATGAAATGTTGCCATCTAAGCATTTAATGGAGGAAGTCTTTCTGCAGCCTGACACATGGTTATGGTGGGATTAAAGAGATGATTATTGATATGATAATGATATGCATACTGTAGTTTTCTTGGATTAAATTTCAGTTACTATCATTTTAGTTCAAAAATATCCCAGTTGGGAATATTTAGGTTTCTATTTTGAATCAATGCTTACAAATTCAATAAGCATTCCAATTTTGATAGACTTAGCAATGTACATCTTAATGACAGATATTGTAAGAAAACATTACCAGATAATCCCAACATAAAGAAAGGTTGTCTTACATAAATCCAAATGGTTCTGAAAGTTGAAAGACCTCCTAGTCCTAGTCTTAGTTTAACTCCATTATGTCAGCATCTGGGTCCCACCAGTTACCTGGCAAAAATGTCATCCCCTGAGGTTTGAGGTACTCCCGGCTCTGAACTCAACAAAACTGTCTCCTCATTCTGCTATCTGGTTGACATCAAAGGAGGAAATTTTTGTGTCAGTACTTATGAAGCTTCTGTTTAGAATTGAAATTGATTTTGCAGTTCAACTTCATTGGTTAATCATTTGAGCCACGAGATTTGCTCATTGGCAAATTGCAACCTGCCAAATTCACCAAAAGAGGATAAAAAGCAAGGTTTGGTGAGCTTTTTTTTTTTTAACAAAAAAAAAGGTTCAAGTTTGATAACATTGCTTTTAATGATGGTTAATTAACTTCAAGGGGTGGTTACTATCCCTGTTTTCTTCTTTGGGTTGGACACATTTTGTTTTTTTGGAAATGCAATAAATGTCATTTTAAGGTAATGCTTCAGTATAGTGCATGGAGTATCTCCATGTCTCCACCCATATACTTGGCAAATAAAAAGAAATTAACAGCCTGGACTGCTCAGGTATTAGATTAATTATGGCTCCATGGTCTCACCAAACAAGTCATGAATTCATGCAAGAAAGAAGTAATGGCAGGTTAAAACTGTAAAAGCCCTTGCTTTGCCTTCTGCCTTAGTCAAACAGAGTTCTCACAAAGGACAGAAAAATGACAAACAAAACAAGGAAAAGTGTTGCCTAAGACATTAAGCTGCCATCATAAATCTAATCTTAAAAATGGCCGCCAAACATGTGCCACTTTCCACATAACAATTGGTAATACAAAAAGGAAAGAAGATGGGATTCCAATTTAGCAGCAGGTTGGGTGAGCTGTGGATCAGATCATACATACATAATCCTCTTCATAGCTGTCCACCCTTCAAAGCAGAGTAATGTTATATGTTGTTATATCCCATCCATATCATTGATTTACATTGACATGGAGCAATCAATACATGATAATATTCCAAAAGGCTGTTGGACTCAGCAACGGGTCCTTGCCTCCCTTTTAAGGACTTCTGGAACAGGCTAGAGAACAAAGGGAAAAAACGAAAGGTGAAAGTGGGAAGGAGCTGTTGTCTAATGTGTACGACCTTTTTGAGCTGCCAATGCAATGCAAAAGAAACTTTAAGCGAAGCTGCCCGTTGTACACCTTGAGGCTGAGAGAGAGAGAGAGAGAGGTCCACTGTTTCAAATTTAAATCCAACTGGGCGGGCAGCCTCCTCATCAGTACACTTGGTACCCATAAACAGATTGCAGCCTCTTAACCCAAATTGGGATCCACAGAATCCATCTGACTTGCTAAAAGGAAAGTGATTTCCACCATCTTCCAAGCCCAGAAAGTAGAGCTTTTCCCCCAAAGCTTTCGTTTATTGACAGGGGAACCCGGTGGAGAGATAAAAAGGCATCAACCATCTTTTTTCATTTCTTTCTTTTAAGTACACCAAGATCGTTGTTTGATCAGGCATACATGCTAAATTGCCGTTCAATTCTCGACGCAACACCCAGAACCCAACGGCTCAAAACGAATCTGGAGCAACTTTTAAACGTGCTTTCTCATTTTTCTTTAATTATAGACATCTTTGGAAATACAAGAAAGCTCATCAAGCCAGAAAACCATTAGTTAGAAAAGGCATTGTAAGAATTAATCCAACAGCATGACTTCCCGGCAATGGAATAACAACAGCTTCTCTGATTACTCGAGTTTTAGACCCCAAGCCAGTTATTCAAACTGCTCACGTTTTATGGTTCAAATCTTAACAGTGAAATTTGACATTGACAGCAATACTTCTTTGTTGAATGAACTATATGGGGGTAAAATAACAAGTTCAGATTACCTATCCCAAAAATATGCATTTTTTTTCCCTTATTTCTGAAACAAATGTTGTTATTAAACTATGGAGAGAAATTCATCCGATGCCAAGCTCTGGGTGTACAAAGGAAGCAACTGCATTGAAGAGCATGAAGGACAAGAAACAAGCTTTAACACGTGCAGTATCACGAGTTTCAATCTAGGCCAGAGCAATTAAAATAAGTATCGCTGCATTCTCTACATTCAATCATACCCATCTGGAATCCCCAAAGGGCAATCCATCGGGTAGAGTGAAGTTCAAAGAAAGAGCAGAATCAGCAGAGATCCATCTAACTTCCTACGAATTCTCAATTACATAACATATCCCATCCCAAACTAGCAGGCTAGCAGCGATGTTATCCAAACAACAAAGTAAACGAGATACATCAAGTGAATTCCAAATTTCCAAGAGAAAAACTAGAATCACTGCATTTTGCCTACAGGTTCAAGTGCTTCAACAGTAACAACACTATTTCCTCTGATCACCTGCAGTGGATTAATATCAATTACAATGAGGCTAACAATAATTGAAAGGGTATACCCGAATGAAAATTAAGCATTGAGCATGCTACTTAAAGAAAAAAGATTAAGAGACTCACCACCATGCCTATGTCAGTTCTCTCATTGCCATTCACCTCCACAGTGTTGTCGACCACTAGATTCATAAACTGGTCAAACCCACGGAGTGTACCAACAACCATCCGATTTGCATTCAGCTTGACTGCAGCACATAATACCAATAGAACTCACACAATTAAATTGGTTTCTTTGATGTATATAACAAATCTACATAATGTATGTAAATTAACAATCTGCAAGCTCATAAGAGATAAAAAAAACAGTTTTGATGCATACATATTAAAAGAGTTTCCCCATCTCTAAATTTTTTATTTTACATATGTCAGCCAAACAAGTGCAACTTATGAGACCGATTTACTGCATCAATTGACAAATTCATCACACACTAAGACATAAAGGTATTAGCAAATACAATAACAATGTATACCTAAAATCTGCTGTAGCTCATGAATTCTTAGATCTTCAACCATGATCAATATAATAGATTCATGAAGATGCAATGTTATAACTAACATCAACAAGATTCTAAAAGACCCGAAAATAAGCAGAAAAAAATCTCAAATTTGTTAACTTTAAAAGATTTCACACTGCTGTAAGAACATACCAAAGGCAAAAAATTTAAGTCCTAAACCTTTCACGTATTCTATCTAGCACCTAACTCCATGTAGCATAAGATGCACAGTCTTGAACTATATAACCCAGAAGCAGATGGTCTAATGGACCGAAAATATGGGAATTCCAAGGAAGAGGGCACTCTGGAGTCTCAACTCAAATCATACAATATGCTCACAAGAGAGAAAAAAAATGCAAAGATTACACCAACAAAACCCAGGTTCAAATCACAATTTAGCCACAAACAATCAACAGGGGACATTCGCTTACTATTACAACTGAAATATTACACGTACATTTAGAACCCTATCAGCTACAACTACCCAAACACGCAACTCAACCCAACTCAACTTAAAGAGGCATCATGCGCGAGAAACCTAACTAACCGAATTTGAGTCCTAAGCAAGAGACTACTAAAAACAAGCAACGGCAGATGAATATAAACTAAATTTAATTAAACAGCATAAAATTGAAAAATGAAAGAGCAAAGCAGATAAAAATAAACTTACTTTGGAGTTTCTTGTCCATGTACCTATTATAAGAAAAACAGTACGAATGAAACAAATGAGAAATTCAAGAAATGAAGGAAATGATAATTTGTAAAACAAAAAAAAAAAAGCATAGAAAAGAGAGTGTAAACGAGCTTACTTTTTGAGATCTGGAGGCTGGCCGGATCTGCTCATTGTGACAGAGATTTGGTCGAATCCTGGGTGTGAGAGAGAGAAGAGAGAGGAGAGTAGGGTTTTGGGAAGGACAAAGAGTTTTGACTCGTAAACTAGAAAGTTAAAACCCTAGAGAAATTTTAGAGGCGGGTTCAACCTGGCCTAAAGCATTAAAAATTTGGTTCGCTTACATTTGGGGTGCTGCGAGAATCGAACTCGCGACCTCTCGCACCCGAAGCGAGAATCATACCACTAGACCAAGCACCCTGCCACATGGCCAAGCTCAAAATAATATTTATTATTAGTATACTCCTTAATTTGTTTTATTAAATAATTAATTTATAGATATCTAACAAATGACATGTTTTTTGAGCTTTTAAATAAAAACTTAGTCTTTTTATACCAAAAAAAAAAGTTCCCCACATATTATATCAAAGGTGAACTCTTAGCAAGCTCAACTCTTCAAAAATAAATAATTTTAGAAAAAACTAAATTGAGGAAAAAATATAAATAGTAAAATTAATGAAATCTTGTCTTATCAATTAGATAATGGGATTAAGAGATTAAATCATGCATTCAAACCTAATTTTATATGAATATTTTCTAATCTTATATTAAATTTTTCATGCTAGTTGGTTGACTTTGTTTGTTTACTTGTTAAAATGATTTATTATCTTAGAGGTGTGAGCTATATATCTTTAACTTTGACTATAATTTTTATTTGCATACAATTTTAAGTAATGTTGGTCTAGTGTTTGATTAAAAGAGCTTGTTTGCATTGGTTGGCTTAAAACTACAATTTGAAAGAGCGTTGTTAAAATATAAGTTTCTTTGATAAGAATTAATACAATATATAAGTTTAGATAGTACGTAGTAATTTTTTTCCAAAACTGTTATCAACTTCACATTTATTTGGAACGATTTAGAGCACTTCGTTGGTGAGAATTAAAACATTTTTTATTTATTTAAGATTTTCATTTAATTTATCTAATAACTATAACTTTAATATGGTTAAATTTTATCATTAAATATATTGATTTGACATCTTAATTAAACTAACATGACATTTTTTACTGATGTAACATTGATTATGTGTTGATATGACATGATCACGTTAATATAGTAAAAAATGCTAACATGACAAAATGTATTGTGGCCACGTCAGCAATTTCCATGTCAATATTATGTTACATCATAGATGTAACTGATGTGGCAAGATTATATATAATCATTTGTTTTAATTTAAACAATTATGGTTTTGCTTTCTATCATTTGCTTTTGTTTTATCAAAGAGAAGTGAATCCACCTGACTCTCTATTGTATCTCATAGAAAATGCAAGCACAGGTAAAATTTGACAATTCAGCAACAAAACTTGAAATTAATTAAACTAAAAATAAAAAAGACTTGCCCTTTCAATAAAAAAAATCAATTTACCCAAATATCAAAAACCCAAAAAAATGAAAAAATACTCTCACTTGAAAAATGGAATAGTAGGCATTACAAACATGAGTAAGCACATTAGCTTGCTATGAAAGCACCTTAACCTAATTAGGATCCCCATTACCTACCGCATTGATTGCAATTGTAGTTAAACAGTTAAGAAACTCCCGCCCTTCAAGATCAAACAATTTACACCTTTGCCACTTAATAGCACCATCGGAACTCATGCCATACCTAGCGCTTCAGGAAAGAAGTAGAGAGGATGCTTCCAAAAATTCCACATTAAGCAAGTAGGAGAATCTTGAGTGGCTAATAAGCGATGGCATTGCACACTCCATCAAGTTAGCCTTTTAGGAAGAGGGTAATAGCTTAATGACAATTGATATTAAAGTAGACCCAATCTTTACCCAATTCCACACTAAGCACTTTCGAGGGGAGGTAAGCAAAGTGGCCAACGATGACAAAATTGTCACTGGATTGGGTGGGTGAGGATGTCATGTCTAGCATTTCAAGAAGGAAGTAGGCAAGGTGCTTCCAAAAATCCCACATTAGGCAGGTAGGGGAGTCTTAGGTGACTTATAAGCGATGGTATTGCACATTTAATCAGATTAGCTTTTTAAGGAGAGGTTAATGACCCCATGACAAGTGGTATTAGAGCAGACTTGACCTTGACTCGATTCTACGCCAAACACTTACTAGGAGACAGGCAGGGTGGCCAACAACAACCTCTCCTTTTTCCTCTATCTTTTCCTTGCTTCCACCCGATTTCATTTTCAAGGGATTAGGTGCTTCCATGTCCACATTTAGACATGCACTCACTCTCCCTTTGTTCAATGGACAACAAAGATTGGTCATCAGGGAAATTGAAACTCAGAGCCCATGAAATAGTTAGAGTGAACTCATTTTTTATTTTTTATTTTTCTTTGGTGAAAATGTTGGCATTGTGAAATCAAAATGTTAGCAATTGCCACATCAGCATAATCATGTAACATTAGCACATAATCAATGCGACATCAGGATACTTAATAGTGATATTTGATGGTGTTAGAGTTAGAGACTAAAATTAATAAATTTACAAAAATTATTGTTAAGGGACTAAGTTCACATTTTTTATAAAGTATAGGACTAATTGCATAATTTAACCTAAAGAAAGACCTAATCTAAAAAAAATCTATGAATTATTCAAAAAATTCAAACAAGTCCTTATATTTATAGTACGTTCAATCAAGTTCTTATACTTTTATTTTAGATTAAATAAGCCCTTATAACTAAGGTTGATTAACTAATGTTAGTTAAAATGTCATATATCATTTTATGTCACGTGGTGTTAACATGACATGCTGGCATGTCACAGTGAATAGTGTCTAACATGATAATATGATCACATGACATTTTTAACCCTTTATCTCATTGTCACGTTAGCGCCATGTGCACATAAAATGATAAGTGATGTTTTAACTAATAACAAGTTAGTCAATTATTAATAATAATGGTCTATTTGACTTAAAATGACAATATAAGGACTTCATTAAATGCATAATTTAACCTAACAAAACATAATATTTTAAAAAAGGTCTATGATCTATTTAAAAAAAATTCAAAAAGTCTTTTTTTATATTATGTTCAATTAAGCTTTTTTTTTTATAAAAAAAAAACACTTATAACTAAGGTTGATTAACTGTCTTTAGTTGAAATGCCACATGTTATTTAATGCCATGTGGTACTAACGTGGTTTGCTTAAATGTCATAATTAATGGTGACATAGCATGATGACATGCCATGTGACATTTTTCACTTTCCACCTAAATGTTACATCAACGCCACATGTGCTTAAAATGACAAATGGTATTTTAACTAATGTTAATAAGCATGTCGTTAGTTATAAGAGATTATTTGACTCAAAATTAAAATATAAAGATTTGATTAAATGTAATCAAAAATAAAATTTTATTTGAATTTTATGAAATAGTTCAATAATGACTTTTGAATATGCTGTGTCGAGAAAAAATTAATCCCATGTTTCAACTTGTTGTCAAGGGCGGACCTACTCACATTGAAGTGGTGTCACATGACACCATTCATTTACAAAAATATTTACTTACTATATTACTTCTATAAAAAATATTTACTTGTTATATTACTTATATAAAGTTTTATATAATTAATAATACTAACAAACCCACTAATTATTTTTACAATTTTGTAGGAAATGAAGTCAAAGTAGATTTATGAAAAAGTAATTTCTATATTAATATTTAAATACTACATGGAAAGACAAAAAAATTTCCTACTACAATTTAACATTTTATTAAAAAAATCAAAACCTGAACTACTCTCCCTCTTCAAAAATTCAAGTCTTATTCTTAAAACTCACAGTAACACTTCATTTTCTTGATCTTTGGCTGTCTTTTTTCACTCTCTCAAAATAACTCATATAGGTTTCAGTTGTAAGTAATTTTCAATTCAATTAAAATTTTTAAATACTTCACGTGTAAATATTTTTTTGATTAATTTGATAGTTTAGGTTAATACTTATAATCTGGCTAATAAAAAATAGTATTATATGTCAAATAATATCTTAAAATTATGATTTTTTTAATTTATTTTATAGATATAATTTTTGATTATTTCGTAGACAGATACAAATACTGTGTATCCTTTAGTTTATTTGCTAGTAAAACCTGCATTGATTTTACCATTTGTAACAGTGTCAATTGAAAAGCTTTTTTAGTAATGAAATTTATAAAATATAGACTACACAATTGAATAAGTAATGAGTGGATGAATAATTACTAGGTGATATATATTGAAAAAGATGTATTTAATAGTTGTTGGTCCCAAAAGGAGTGTTAAAGGGGGATGAATAGCACTTAAAAATATTTTTGAAGGAAATCTTTTAAGTTTAAAACATTTTGGAAGAAATGAAATGGAAGTTTTAAAAACTTGTTGAGGTTAGTGAATACCAAGTAAAAAAAGGTTAAGAGAAGTAGACAAAACTCAATATTTATAGTGATTCGATCCACTTGGCCTACATCCATTACCTTGATCTTCCCCAAAAAAGATTTTCAACCTCACTTCACTAAAATCAGTGAAATTAACAGTTTCCACTAAGTTTTTACAATATGAGCTTCTACCTAAGCTATAAAAATTTACAACAATTTCTTTAGAGTGTCTCGCGTACTCCAGTCAAACTAAAACAAGAAAAAGATGAAGTATAATGGTCATTTAATTGATTTAATGCATACAAGCTCAAACCCTTTACAAAGGATAAAAGTAAAAAACAAGTGTACAAAAGAAGGTTTTTGCTTTTTTTGGCTTTTTCAAACTCTTTGAAACTTCTTTATGTCATATTTGACCATTGGAGAGGTTTTAAATACTTGAAAAATCACTTTTGGCCATTGGAAACAAAAACTAGTCGTTACAAATAGTTTCTGGTTGTTATTTTGTTCTTTTGTGCTTAAATTCAAGTGTGCAAATAATGCTTCATTAACCGATTAAAGGCAAGCTTTAACTGCTTAAGCCTTCTCTAACTTGCAATATCTGATAGCTCCTTTCACTGTGTTAATCGGTTAAAAAAAACTTTAATCAATTAAGAATTTTATGTTTTGGAACACCTTTAAACACAGTTTTTGACTAGCGTTCGTTCAACTAATTAATGTTCTTTTTAATTGATTGAAGTTTATCTCCCTTCATCCTTAAC